AAATACAGTTAAGGAAAGACTTTGAATAAAATATAAAGTTGATAAATATTTATGAGGGACGTCGTGAGAGGTGATCCATAAATACTACGGTGATCGACAAATACTTTTACAATATAAAACACACACGTAAAACGATTTGTAATTGTCTGAATACCAAGGATTCGCGTCTCAGGAACTAATACACCAAATTAAAATTGAGTCTGAATGTATGCCTTTTCGCAAGATAACTCGGTAGGGATACTAATATTGGCAACTAAGAGTATCGAAAAGATTTTCAATAATGCTAAAACAGAAATTTGCAATATACCAAATAAGAAGACGGTATAAAATAACCTGCGACGACATCTTTTCAATGGTAGAAAACACTTTGGGGCACCTGACGTCTGAAGAAGAATCTCTGTATAAAGTACAGGGAATACGCGTAGCAAGTATCACCAGTGGAACTAGTAATAATATATATCGTGTAGTTCTTTTGATATTCAAGTCGGAAAACAGACTGCTCCAGTCTTTACTAATTTGTAAAATTACCCCTGACTGGCGTGAAAGAAAAAGACGAATTTCGAAGGTGCTCGACTTCCCGTATATTGTCTTTATGACTGAAAATATTTTTTTCACGTTTGTTTTTGGTGTATTTTTACGACATGAGTAGCTACAACCAGCTCGCCTGCGCTCTTATCGATTTTTGTCTACATTTTGTGCGCACAATTCTACTAATTTCTTTATCGATATTTTCGGAGAGTTAGACGCCTTTTTCTAACGAACCACGACATCATGGCCTTCTTACATATAGACAATTTTCTCAGGTATTAGCTTTCAAACGTGCGTCGCAGACAGCCCCAAAGAAAAGTAGACAGGTTATCAAACGCTGCTGAAACTTCCGATAACCTTTGTCATGAAGCTTTCTGTTTTTCTCAGTTTACTTCTTCCCCGCGTGTGTGGCTGTCCTTACTGTGTCTTCCCCAGTCTGCCGCACGCAGGGAAGTTCAAAGTTAGAAGTGGTCGTTTACGATAATGATCAGGACTTTTATCGCAAGGTGTCCACGGTCCAGGAGAACGGGCAAAAGTTGTAACGGGACACATTTATAACACGATCTTCTTAGAGGCAAAGCTTTACAGTGGAACAGGTTCTTTAAGTTTCAATCAGTTTCAGTCATTCTCAAAGGTTCTTTTAATGGAAATACACATATTCCTTGAAATATTACGTAATGTTAATGGTAAACGAATTGACTCAAAAAGCTCAAGGAATAACAGGTAAAAAAGTCAGGTCTGTCAACTCGCGAACATGAACAAACAAAAAACAGAGCCCGAACCTGTTAGATATTATGAGTTAAAAATAAGAAAAAAAAAAAAGACAACAAAGAGAAAGCTTTATTGCGTAAACAAATGGTATCGTTTAAGCTTCGCCTGTAAGAGTGGAATGCGATGGCGTTATGGGGCCCTGTTCGCAATGCCTTCCCATATAAACACGCGCTCGTTCCCAAGAGGTGCAAGCGTGTGTGCGTGGTCTAGAAAGTAGCGTCACGTGTCACGTGAGGTCACAATACATCACGTGACGTGTGACATTACACGCGGCGGTGACGTCATGACCCTACGTTCCCGCCAAATTCAGCGGCAAAGTTTTGGCTGAACTTGGAGGGAAAAGTTTTCGTTGAATTTTAAGAGAAGATTTTCTGCTAAATGTGTCAGGAAAATGTTTCGCTACATGTGGAGGGAGAATTTTCCGCTAAATTTTGTGCAAACTGTTTTTACCAATTTAGCATGTCAATATACGTCATGACATCTGAGCCACGTGCGACGTCTTATGTGACGTGACAAGTGGCTTCGCGTCTTGCATTATGGGATTTTTTGTCCCACCTACGCCGACGCCGACCCCTTCACACAGAATTTTCTACGACACGAGCTTCTAAACGCTATCGCTTTAGCAGGAATAGAGCAGAATGTTGTTCTACGCACGAATAGACCGATCGCACAGCTAGTTTGAGTACGCCACCGCTGCCAACATGCATCGTGGGAGCTGTAGTCTTTCTGCACGCGCGACAACCCTGCTGGAGCTCTGCGCGAGCGGAGCACGAGGCGGCATCTCGTGAACTGGCGTCTGCCTCCTACGAACTACAGTTATGGCGGCGTCACGCATGCGTGGAACGCTTGGTGGGATCGGTCTATTGGCGTCGGACGATTTCATACTCGGGTTTTGTCGACATCATTATTTAAATCTGACGCTCCACAGCATCATTTACTTTCTCCCTCTCTCTCACTCGTTCTTTTTCGGTGGTCGCCGACAATGAGCACGTCTACCTGTTTATTCAATGACATTACTGGCACGCCCCATTTAGAATTGTATTATAAATCTGCCAAATTGAAAGTGCAACGATTTCTCGAGGTATGCTTGTTAGGTTGAGTAGGCACCTTCTCCCATTAAAAGAAAAGCTGAAGTTATTGAAGAAAAAAAAATGAGGTAGAGGGGCATTCTAGCGTATTTTTCTCCCGTGACTCTGAATATCAAGAGCATTTGTTTCCAAGGTACCAGTAAACGCGAAAAAAATCGAAAACCTACCGTTGGGTGTGACGTATACCCAGAAGGTTAACTGCCTTGAGCCTGTCGTTTGTGAGGGCACGCTTGCAGCGCTTTTCACCACTCGGGTGCGGCTATCGGAAATTGCGGACTTATTGAGGTATCTGTATAACTCCTCATGATTACCTCCTCGCAGCGAACGCGACGGGAGGTAGATGCTTGAGTGGTATTTTTAAATCGCTGGTGTGGCTATTTTGCGCATAAATGTGGAATATAAATTTTATATTCGTAATCCCGGAAGCCAAAAAAACAACAAACACATTTAAGTGTTTGTTGTTCACATCCACATTAAAAAAAAGAATTCAGTTTCTTTTTTTTTTTCAAACAGATACAATTGCTATTGCGGTGTTCGAGTACGTCCCAAAAATTCAAAATCTTGCACCAGTGCACATTTTGAACGTCTGTTTTTTATACTTATTATTGACGATTCGCGCCTCTTGTCGCGTCTTCTTAAGCAAACAGCACTATGGGCCAATACGATCCTTCATGCCTAATAACAATTTGGGTACAAGCGTAGTCATTTATCCTTAGCCTACCTCACGTTTTCGGTGCTTGTTAACTTGACGGCGCCGGAGACGTAGAAAATAGTGAGCAATTTGGTAAACATCAGAAAAGGTTTGCAAAAGATATTGTTCAAATAATGCGAATCTACACAGAGTATGCACCAAAGAATTGAGTCGTATAGCCAACTTATAATTAAAATTGTTATATTGTATAATAAGCTAGAAGCGGGACAATGTCGCGAACTTGAAAGCACAAAACTTTGAAGAAAATTTAACATGTCCAAAATTTTCCATATCCCAAAAAAGAAAATTTTCAGAGTCCCAGATGGGTAAAACTATTGAAGTCGGTTTGTCGGCTGGAACTTCGGCAGTTAAGTGTGGGATGATTTTAAAGTAAATTGTCGTGAAAATTTAAAAAAAAACAGTAAAAAATGTGTAATCATATAATTTGTAAAACAAAATGAGGCTTGAAAACATTTTGTAACAAACTCTGAACATCAGCTGAACGCGCAAACTAACGTATAGAGTAAGAACAGTCAAAGGTAAGCTGGCGAACGTTCAATATTTTGTAAATTAGAGAGCGGAAAATAAAGAAATTCTACAAAAACAATAAAATGTATTTGCACAGTTTTTTGTTGTTTTTTTTTCCTAAATTTTGCAATGTTCTCTCTTGTAAACCATTTTATCTTCTCACACGGTTGTTGTGCCATCTTTAGGTGTGCCGACCACATCTAGCGCGTATCTTGTGTGAAAATATTTTCACAAAATCACTGACAGCCAGTATGAATAAAGGAAGAAATTTATCAGTGATATTTTGTTTTAAATACTGGAATGTCAGGTAATTTTAGCGAACCATATTTTTTTATTTCCTTATTTATATTCGCTTATATTTATTCATTATCAAACATTCCTTTGTCTCTTGACGTGGGTTAGTTTTTGCGACTTAAGCCATCTGAGAATGTCAGTGTTAATTTCAAGTTAGAGTTAGCTCGGCCTTCGTTCTTTATTTTGTGACTCTAAGCTAAAAGGCACATCATTGATCGCATTTCTGGCCGGAATTATGGTTTCGGAAACTGGTTTACTTAGGCGTGAATACTCCAAAGTTTCTTTTTTTTTTTTACCTAGTTCTTATCTATTTCTCCTGAGGCGTTAATCAGATTAAGCAGATGCCATGAAATGTTTTCGAAATGTAGAAGATATTTGGGACTGAGCATTTCTATCGGGCAACATCGACTTTATCGACTGCGTTCCAGATTCGTGCTTTCGCAACGCGCAGAATCTCAATCTTACTCAGTTTATTGTGTTGTAATTTTTGAAGAAGTGGGATGGATGCCTGCATCCATCCCACTTCTTCACGACAGACCAGCGAGATGCATGGACACGGTCACTAAGGTTTCTTGGTTTCGTAAGCGAACATCTGCCTGCGCGACGACAAGGGGCTCACGCGGTCACGGTGCATCGAGGGCCCGACTCCGGTCGACAAGCGTGGCATCACCGCCCCGTCATCGGTGGTTGAAAAGCCTCGCATCCGTGCCAAGTCATCGGTGGACGTCGCCACGTGCCTGATTACGGTCAGCGCGCTTCGGAAAGGGCTATCGCCAGCATCTGTCGACTACTTAAGCCCCTGTCGACGAACGGCACTCCGCAGACCAGCGAGATGCATGGACACGGTCACTAAGGTTTCTTGGTTTCGTAGGTAAGCCTGACTACTCACTGTTTCGTTGTGGGTGGGTGGTTCACATCTCGCTGGTCTGCATTCTCTCTTTTTTGTTTGCTAAGCGTTCTTTATAATGGAAGAAAGGGGTGACTGTTTGTCATGTATGAAGCTTGTAGCTACTGATGGTCCGTGCTTGAAGTGTGCAGAGTGCACGATCCATTACCATACGGGGAAATGTTCTGAAATAACGACCAAAGCATTGAAGACGATGACGTCAGAGAGCATTTCCCGGTGGCGGTGCGGGACGTGCAAGCTGCATGCAAAGCGCCAGTCTGTGTCTCCTGAGGAATCGGGGTGTGTGTCAGGACAGGGATCCCAGGAGGGGAGCCTTGGAAACCTAGTGCAACAGAACGATGCTATCAATCGTAAACTGACTGCCCTCTTGATTAGAATCAACGCAATTGAAACGTCGCTGGAGATTCAGACTGGAAAAGGTGGTGAGTTGAGGGCTAAGATTGAAAATCAAGGGAGGACGATTGAGGGCATTGAAGAATCTATGAATAACCAGTCAGCAAGGCACCAAGAGCTGATGACTAGACTGGACAGCCAAGACAAAACAATTAAGGGTCTAGAGCAGAAGGTGAATCAATTAGAAGAGAAAATAACTCAAAGGGACGAAGAAATCTGGGCACTAAGAAAGGCCGTCGAAAATGCGGAACAATATTCCCGAAGGCAGAACATCGAAATTCACGGAGTCACTCAACAACCCAACGAAAGCCTGTTAGGGGTAATTAACGACATTGCTACTAAGCTAGGCGTGCCACAACTCGCAACCACTGACGTTGAGGCTGCCCACAGACTAAGAGCAAAGGAAGGTAGACCAGCACCCATACTGGTGAGGTTCACTGAGGGGCGCACGAGAGACGTTTGGGCAAAAAAACGAGTTAGTCTTAGGAGCGAAAACATTTACATTAATGAAAACTTAACCCGAGCAATGAAGAATTTGTTGTGGACAACAAAGGCATGTGCCAGAGAAAAAAACTACAAGTATACATGGGTAAAAAATGGAAAGATTTTTGTGAGACAGAACGAGGGTGCCGCAGTAATTCAGATTGAGAGCGAAAGAGATTTCGCCAAAATTAGATACTCATGCAGTCTTCATTTGAGTCTTTTGAGGAATGGGATGCTTACACAAAACAGACAATAGCAAAGGACGGTTACGGGAATACGAAGTTAAGTTTATTACATGTAAATGTGCGAAGCATCTACAAGCATTTTGATCAGTTAATGGTGCTTTTGGAGGCCGGCTTCCTCTCCTTGATGTGCTTATAGTAACCGAGGTAAATTTACTCGAGGCATCTGGTGCGTCCTTTAGCATAACATGTTTTCATTCCTACAATATATGCAGAGAAGGCAGAAGGGGTGGGGGAATGTTATTATACATAAATAACAACTGTTTATCCGATAGAATTGATGTAAAATTGGATAATGCAGAAATTTGCGCGGCTGTCGTAAATAAGGATAAGTTCTCCTATGTAGTTTGTGCCGTTTACAGACCACCCAGTTCCAATGTAAACATGTTTTGTGATGAATTATCGAAGCTGCTTCCGAAATTTGATAACAATAAATATTTAGTTCTTGCAGGAGGTTTTAATATTGATGTTTCGAATGAGTTCAAACCTGGAGTGTCGTGCTATCTTGACACCCTTTCTGCTTTTGGGCTTGAAAATGTTACTCAGGATTATACACGGGAAGAACATTACGGTGATAAAATAACAAAGACATGTATTGACCACATAGTTACTAGAATAAGCAACTTAAACACATTATCTGGAGTAATTAAGCAGAAGCTTGCTGATCACTATATAACGGTTCTTTTAATATTAGGGGAAGATATACTTGGAAACCTAATAGTGGAGGACCAGTATCACACTATACTAGATAGCAATAAAATTGATAGTTTCATTCAGAAGTACGATTGGAATTTTTTGCTAGACTATGATCACCTAACAGTCTACGACAAGCTGGTTCACCAATTTCAGGATATTTATGCAAGCGCTACTAGAAAGGTGAAATTAATGAAAAGAACGCCCGAAAATATTTGGATAAATCCGGAAATATTAGAAATGTGTCATCAGAAGGACAGTCTTTGGAAGCGATGCAAGCAAAATCCTGGTGATATCATGCTTAAAAAAGAGTTCCGTGAAATACGCAGCAAGGTTACACATATAATTCGTTTGGCGAAAAAGAATTATTATGTAAATCAGTTGAAAGCTTCGACTAGAAATCCGAAAGAAACGTGGAACTTGGTCAATCAAATAATTGGCAGGAAAACTAAAAATAGTATTGATGATACCATACAAAATCATTTTCAAGAATCTAGTTCCTACAGCGAGTTAGCAGAAATGTTAAACAAAATCTTTATCGACGACGTAAAAGAAATTAAAAAGAATATACCGGCGACCAGCTTAAATGACGTTTCCCCAACATGCTGCGTTAACTCAGCTTATCTTCCAGATATGACAGAGAGTGATTTGTTGCGTATCGTCCACGCTATGTCAATAGCAAAAACACCAGGAATCGACAGTATCCGAGTTAGAGACATACGCTACAATTTCGATAAAGTAAAACAGATTTTGCTTAAAATAGTGAATGACACACTGCATACCGGAAATATTCCTAAGGGTTTGAAAGTATCTGTGATAAGGCCGTTATACAAAAAAGGAAAGAAGCAAGAGGTCGGGAGCTACAGACCCATATCAATTCTTCCATTCATGACACACGTAATCCAGAAATGGGTTCAAATAGCAATGAATAATTTTTGCGACAAATTTTCCTTTATAAGCACTATGCAGTACGGCTTTCGGCAACAAAAAAGTACCATTACTCTGCTGGAAGATTTCGCTGACTGCATTACTGAAACAATAGATAAAAACAAAATAGCCCTAGCTCTTTTCATAGACTTGTCAAAGGCATTCGACACCATCGATCATGGTAATAAAACCCGAGACTCAGGAACACAGAAGGAGACGAACACAACACAACGTCTCAAACACAGCTGAACGTTTATTTTTCAGACACTCGTTTAAAAAGGCGAGTCCCTCCGGTGCCCCCACCCGACATCCACAGACCCGAAGGTCAAGCCGCTTCCTCCCGTCCAGTCCACATCAGCAGCCCTTCTCGCACACACAGCCATCCACATGCCCTAGGCGCCGCAGAGTCGATGAGAACGTCCACGCAGTTGACTTATCACCCTCCACTGTCACCACTGCTAATCCCCCACTCTCTCGCAACGCTTCCTTGCCCCCCGCCGACGAATCGTACACAAGCACACCACACACATATATCCCCTTCCCGTCCTCTCCCCCCCCCCCCCCACCTTTACAGTTGCCGGCGTAAACACAAACCTCGAAAACAAATGGGGAAGCCCACCCAGTGAGCTCAGATGCGCCGCAAAGTAATCTCAAAGCCTTACAGTTTGTGTTGCTAACCGTCGATCCCCCCTTTTTTTATTTTTAATGTACTTCCTCATGTTTAATTACTGTTACCAACACGCTCGTTTTGTACTTACTTATCCCCGACCTTCCCAAACCCCCCCCCCCCCCTCTTTCCCTTTATTTCCGCCTCCTTCCAATGCCTAAAAAAAAAAAAGAGATTAATTTTTACTGAGCCTTTGGGTTGGAACTCACCCGTCATGGAGACGAAACTCCGTTTCTGATATGGGACCAGGTTAGGTTGTCTAACGAAACGGAAGGATTGCTTAAGCAGTTCCCAATACTCCCTATTCTAATGGTTTCCCTCAATATTCTTTTAGTCACATCTTTTTCACTGAAGATAATTTCTGTTCTGGCCCACTCCGGGTCGCACCCATTGCACTCTTCAACATGTCTGGCTATTTCTGAATTTTGAGCCCTCATTTCTACTGCCATTTTGTGCTATAATAACCGGTCGTTTACACATCTTCCTGTTTGGCCAACGTAAGTAAAACCACATGTCAATGGTATACCATAAACTACCCTGTCCCGACACTCGACTTCTCTATTTCTGTGTTTTTTTCGGCAACCGCTCACCCCTCACTTGAATGGGGTTAGTCTGCTGAGTTTGAAGTCCGGTCTGAAAACCACAGTTACGTTGAATTTCTTAGCAAGAGCCTTCAAATTATGGGAAACCGAATGGTAAAAGGGAATGCAAACTACATTGTTCATTTTTTCTTTTACTCTGACCGTACCCGCCAAACGCTGCAAAGCCCTCGCGGCTACACTCTCCACAAGCTCCTTTTTGTATCCTGCCGCTGACGTCGATGTCGGCTGGGACCGCTTTAGTGAAACGCTATGTCGATGACTTTTTGGTATGTACGACGAGAGGCAGTGACTTGGCGATGCTTGTGGATTTTATCCGAAACGCGGCGCCTGAGCTGGCCTTTGTAACAGAATTTCCAAAAAATAGATCACTACAGTTTCTGGATGTTAAGATAAGTTTGACGAACGGTTTGTGCTGGACGTACGGCAGGGATGAACCCAGACCACTATTGCCCTACATGAGCTGTCATGCCAAGACGGTCAAGAGAGGTGTTGCCGCTTCACTGTTGAATAGTGCGCTCGGTAAATCTTGTGCGCATAAGGTTGCGGAGGCTGTGCAGGCGGAAGTGTCTAGATTGTTAGCGGCAGGATACAAAAGGGAGCTTGTGGAGGGTGTAGCCGCGAGGGCTTTGCAGCGTTTGGCGGGTACGGTCAGAGTAAAAGAAAAAATGAACAATGTAGTTTGCATTCCCTTTTACCATTCGGTTTCCCATAATTTGAAGGCTCTTGCTAAGAAATTCAACGTAACTGTGGTTTTCAGACCGGACTTCAAACTCAGCAGACTAACCCTATTCAAGGGAGGAGTGAGCGGGCGCCGAAAAAAACACCAAAAAAAGAGAAGTCGAGTGTCGGGACGGGGTAGTTTATGGTACACCATTGCCATGTGGTTTTACTTACGTTGGCCAAACAGGAAGATGTGTAAACGACCGGTTATTAGAGCACAAAAGGGCAGTAGAAATGAGGGCTCAAAATTCAGAAATAGCCAGACATCTTGAAGAGTGCAATGGGTGCAACCCGGAGTGGGCCAGAACAGAAATTATCTTCAGTGAAAAAGATGCGACTAAAAGAATATTGAGGGAAACCATTAGAATAGGGAGTATTGGGAACTGCATAAGCAATCCTTCCGTTTCATTAGACTACCTAACCTGGTCCTATATCAGAAACGGAGTTTCGCCTCCATGACGGGTGAGTTCCAACCCAAAGGCTCAGTAAAAATTAATCTCTTTTTTTTTTTTTTAGGCATTGGAAGGAGACGGAAATAAAGGGAAAGAGGGGGGGAGTTTGGGAAGGTCGGGGATAAGTAAGTACAAAACGAGCGTGTTGGTAACAGTAATTAAACATGAGGAAGTACATTAAAAATAAAAAAAGGGGGATCGAGGGTCAGCAACACCAACTGTAAGGCTTTGCGATTACTTTGCGGCGCATTTGAGCTCACTGGGTGGCCCTCCCCATGTGTTTTCGAGGTTTGTGTTTACGCCGGCAACTGTGAAGGGGGGGGGGGGGGAAGGGGGTATATCTGTGTGCTGTGCTTGTGTGCGATTCGTCGGCGTGGGGCAAGGAAGCGTTGCGAGGGAGTGGGGGATTAGCAGTGGTGACAGTGGAGGGTGATAAGTCAACTGCGTGGACGTTCTCATCGACTCTGCGGCGCCTAGGGCATGTGGATGGCTGTGTGTGCGAGAAGGGCTGCTGACGTGGACTGGACGGGAGGAAGCGGCTTGACCTTCGGGACTGTGGATGTCGGGTGGGGGCACCGGGGGGGGGGGGCTCGCCTTTTTAAACGAGTGTCTGAAAAATAAACGTTCAGCTGTGTTTGAGACGTTGTGTTGTGTTCGTCCCCTTCTGTGTTCCTGAGTCTCGGGTTTTATTACCATGAATCATCACCAGCTCGCTTGTTTTTTAAGTATTATTTCAGGTACCATCGATCTTTCGTTATTGCTGGAAAAATTATATAGTATGGGATTTCGAGGTCCTTTTTATCAATTTTTTGAGAATTACTTCAAGGATAGATTCCAAATGGTTAAGATAATGAATAATCTCAGCAGGCCGGCTCAAGTCCGAT